AGAAAAAGTCCTTTATATCTCACAAGGAAAGTCAATGTTTAATTGTTTAACAAAACATTGAGTGCGACCGGTTTCGAAGTGCGAGCCTGAAGATGAAGTGATGACACTTCGAAACCGGTCGCACTCAATGTTTTGTTAAACAATTAAACATTGACTTTCCTTGTGAGATATAAAGGACTTTTTCTCACCCTTCACCTTAAAATTACCTCAACTCACACATGGCTACCCCCCTTGTCAAAAATATTTAATCGTTACACAAAATAAGGCATTTTATAACTGGTTACATAATTATTTCGAAACAAGTTTCATAATTTTCAACATTATGCAACTGGTTGCGTAAAGTAAATCATTTTGACACTTACTGTGATTACAAAAAATGTCACTTTATACGTCAAAAAAAAAAAATCAATTAAAACGCAATACATGACAAAATATTCAACTTTTTTGAAAACTAAATAACTTTAATAAGCAATATAGACACTAAAAGTCGTCGAGAAAAAATAATTAATGATATTCTATTTGTCAATAAAATGATACATAAGTTGTTACAATACAAGAAGGCAATATTGGTTGCCTAGATGTCAGCCATGTCTTACCAAAACACCAATTTTATAATCTAGTCAAAATTAGAAAATATATTGTATGTAATACGTTACGTAAAGCCATTTTATGTATCTCGTTCATATTGCGGGACCTCGCTCTGCTCGTCCCGCAAATATTCATCTGTTACATAAAAAAAAAAACATTTCGCAACTGGTTGCATATTTCGAAATCAGCTTCATAATGTTCAACATTATGCAACTGGTTGCGTAAAGTAGATTATTTTGCTTCGAATACAAAAAAAAAATATCACTTTATATGTCAAAATTAGAAAAAAATTATTACTATGACTAGGTCGACTATAAATGGTACCTGTTACATTGTGAATGTTCAACTTAGGACTTATTCTTATGACTATTACTAAGTGAACTATAAAAAGACTCTTATAATTTTGAGAAGAGTTATTTAAACGTCTCAAAATTGGTTTATTTTTTAAATTTCTTTTGGTGTAAAATTTTCTTGGCCCCAACTTTATGTTCGCCATTTTCTTTGCTTGCAAGTAAAATTGCGGCAATTCTTATTGCACGTCTGCAATTATTATTTAGTGCAATTATTGCAGAAAATTAGTTTAAACGTCCTAGATTAAAATTTGTTTTGTTTTACGTTACGTATTATTGACAGATGACATTGACAAATTTTTTCAACCTGTAAATGTAAAATACACTAAACTAAATATTTTTTACTTTCAAGGGTACAAAGTGGTACCTATGTAAAAAGCAGCTAAGTAGATCAAAAATAAACTAAAAAAATAGTCAGAATTCTTATACAGGGTGTGCCATAAAGTGGATTTTATTTTAATATTACGATTGGTAAAAAACGTCATAGGGCAATCATCACCTGCTTATTTAAAAATTTAAAATTGCCCATGTTTAAGTTGGCTACTGACATTACTTTTGTGTCAAATTTGCTTAAAAAAAAAAAATTGAAAGATATTTAAAAAAATACCGAATTTGACAGATAACTAATACAGTAGTTAATTATAATATAAGTTATTTTAAGCATAAAAAAAAGCAAAGATGAATGCCACCCACCTACGTTTTTTCCAATCGTAATAAAAAAAAATTCCCATATGGATCAAACTTTATGGAACATACTGTATCATTAGTGTCAATTTTAATTTGTCTAATTCAAACGACAATTTGTATTACGCTCAATTGGAATTGCCGTCATTTTACTTGTAGCAAGAAACTCTAAAATGGCTCTAAAGGGAATCCCCAAGTGCTTGGATTAAAAACCAGTCTTTGGCACCGATTTTATGTATCCCAAAAATTTCAAGCCATAATTCCAGCACAAAGGAGATTAGCAGCGATCATTTTTATCAGTATTTTTAAGTTTGCCGGTGTGTGTATGTTTCAAGGGAATAAAGGTTGATTCACAATATCAAAGAACCGGCAACGACTTGATAATTTTCGTAAATATTCATCAAAATCAGACAGAACGATAATTTTCAGCAGATACTCAAAGTGCTATCGCTTTTCTGTGCAGGTACAGTGTGTTGTAAAACTTGTCCTGACTTTTGTTCCTTGTGCCTTTGGGTTCGACAACTTATGGATCGTCAATCGAAAAAGATTCTGATAATCTGAGTTGGGATCGAATCTAAATACACAAATTAACTAGGACACCAGATACACAAGCTCTGATGGTCTAGAAGTAAGGACGTTGGAACGGTTATCCAGAGGTCGAGAGTTCGAGCCCTGCCCAGGGCAATTTTTTTTTTCAATTTTTTTAATTTCTTTTTGGTTTTATCGCACTTTGATTTCTATGTCATTTCTTTCAACAAAATTTTCACAATAAACCTTCAGTTTATTCATTATTTTCATTTAAAAGATAATTGCACAAATTAAACCTTTTGCAGTATCATTATCTTTTAGTCTGTACATCAATAATAGTTTAAATAAATCGCTAAGTCAGTTCAGTTCAAAAAAGGAAACTCTTAAAATAACGGATTTTGTGACTTCCAAAAGAAAATATCAGTGTTTTATCTTTTTAACTGAAAAATATTTCGATATATTTAATAAATTTGTACAAATCTCATTAAAAAAAAAGTTAGTTTATTAAAATGATGCAAGCGACGTATGTCGTTGTGTTTGATAATGTGAATCAATCTTAATGCGGGAAGGACATCAACCTTTTGATTTTCGCGATCCCCATTCACTAGCTGTAATTTTTGATTCATTTTTTTTTTTAAATTTGAAATTTACTTTTTATTACTGCACTGCACCTGCGCACCTCTAGCGGGGTCTGGCAACAGCACAGCATACAGCTCTCTATCTCTCTCTCACACACGGCACCGCCCGCAACAATGAATCTGTCTGCTAAGCCGCTCTTTTACACCGCTACCCGCTACTACTCGTACATTCCCGTTTGGCAGCCATTATCACCAAAACGCCACCAATCTCTGCCAGCCGCAGCCTGCTGTGCATATAAAATTCGTTAGTAATATTCAAACTGGCATATATTGTGCTTTTTTTATGATTATTCATTGTTAATGTAATCATTTTGTGGCAATTTATTTTTATCGACACTCTTGTCGTGTACAGGGTGTTTCATCGGTAAAGGCGCTTTCTTTATTGGTGGTAGATAAGAGGGAAAACTAAGGTAGTTCTAAATGACACATATTTAATGAACTTCTGGTTATTTATAATGGAGGATTATCCTATGAAAAATATCGAATATACAGTGAGCATCATAAGTCTTACCCCCCTAACTAACTCGTTACTGGAGTGTTGTTAGGAAAATCGCCGAGACAGGTCGATTTTTGTTTTCTATAAGGTACATTTTTGTATGATTAGTTTACCCTTAATTTCATCCCTTACTGAAGGGGAACAACCCTTTCGAAAAATTTAAATGGCACGGGGTGGTGAGTGATAGCTCATTTGAAAGGGGGTTTTATTCTCTATTCAACCGTGCAAAACATTTTTAAATTTGCTTTATTACGTGTTGATTTATTAATGTTTAAAAATAACAAAATCTCACCAAATAGGAAAGCAACTAAACTAATAGTGACCTTCTAATGGCAAAAAGTCTTACTTCACATCTGAACCAAAACCGAAATCATGCAGGGCCGAATTTTAATTCTAAGGATGAGTGCGCTACGTTAATTTCCGTTATTCTGAAACAACAATTAGTCGAGAATTAATGAAGCAAATTTCAAATTTTTTTACATGGTTGAATAGAGAATAAAACCCCCTTTCAAATGAGCTATCACTCACCACCCCATGCCATTTAAATTTTTCGAAAGGGTTGCTCCCCTCCAGTAAGGGATGAAATGAAGGGTAAACTATTCATGTACATCCAAAAATATTTTCAAAATATGCCTTTTTAAAATCCATATAGTTTAAAACTTGTTTGTGTCTGTAACACACACGTATAATGGCGGTATAATGACGATCCATTTGAACATTCAAACTTAATGGCATTTCTGGTAATACCGGAAATCTGCCATATTGTTTAAGTATAAATGATAATTCAAAACAATGTCCAGTGTGTTTGTTCCAAATTTTAACCAAATAGCTTTATAAATAGAAAAAATATTAATGTGGTCCATCCAGTACTAGTTTAAAAGAATTGAAGCCCTTGGAGTAAAAAGGATGCAAGTCACAATTTATCGTGAAGCTCAAAACATTTATTAATAAGGATACTAGCCACATACAAACTATTTTACCTCTATTTCGAATTTAAATAACTTTTTAATTTGTATTTGACAGATTTAAAACAAATTTTAAACTCCATTTTCTCAAAACATACAATGTGGCATGTATCCTTATTTCACCAAGGTCTTTAATTGTGAAAAAAGAAGTAATCATCATCTGAATTCAGTCAAAAATCGCTATCTAGTTACGATTAATTAAATAAATTACTATAAAGAACCAGAAGCTCATAAAACGTGTGCCTTTGGCGGCCTCCATCTACCCTTAACGTACGAAACACCCTGTAGAACGCCCTTTCTGGATTATTTGCTTACCCAAAAATAATCCAAAAAGTAAAAAAAAACATTTCAATCATTCACATCGTTGGCGTTTACTAAATATTACTTACTTTAATAAACTAAATATTTCTTTTACCATAAAAAAAAATGAAAACAGCAGAAATTATTTTTTTTTATATATAAAATGAATCAGAATACACTACACAGAAATTCTCTTTTACAATTTTGTCGTCAGAAAGAAAAAAACCAAAAAGATACTACAGTAAGAACAAAAATAAATCTTAAACTAAGTTGTGTTACAATCAATCAAATTTTCAGATATAATTAACTCATTAATTAAAAAAAAAAACAACCCAATTTTGAATTGAAATAGAATCCCAGAATCCTAAAACATTGGATTTGTTACATCTTGTTTTTATCAATCGTTTTACATCTAACACATTACGAAGGGGAAGTTTTTTATTTTCTCAAAAATCATTATGTAATAAAAAAAAAAGGTTGCTTAGGTCATAGGTGGTAATTTTTGTATAAATACCTTAAGAGAGCAGGCGCCTACTTAACTGCACTGCACCTCCTCTGCTACACCTAGAGAAAAGAAATTATGACATGTACGTTTCTAGATTCTTATTGAATTCACGTCATTTAAGGTAAAAGCTGTAATCTTCGTCCGTGCTTTAGTGTTTGACCAAATATCACTTAAAATCCGATAAGAAAACAAATTTAAATTGTTAATCCCAACCAGTGGGGCGCGCCTCTCGGACCCCAATGTATTCGGACATCCTGAAGAAAAATCTATATCTACTCTTAATTATTTTTATTAATAGAAATATGACAAATCGAAATGACGTTTAATATACATGTCATCAAAACTTTTGTAGTTCAGAACAACGCCTTAACACAATTTTAATCCATTAGGGTCCAGTGATCTATTTATAGATCATAACAAAAAAAAATTACACCATTGCAATCAATTTTTTAAAAAAATATTAAAGTCATAGAGGTACGTATATATTTAGGTCGACGCCAAGAATGTAAGACTATCTAATTATTATTTTTCATAACTGAAGTACTTTTTCCGATTTTTTTTTTAAATTGAGCAAAAATAAGTTTCTTGTATTGCCAAATAGTTTTTAAAATATATTTTAATTTTTTGGGTTCCTAAAAAATGTAGATTACCACTCCATATAAAATTTTATTTAAGTTATAAGTAAATATTTTTTACTGATTTATATTTATACCACTGGGTACATGTGCAATATCTATACATGCAGGCGTAGAAACAGTGATTTACTCAAAAAGGACACATACTCCTTTTGCTTATTACTTTCCTGTCTGTATACAGATAAGAAAAGTGAATCATGATTTTTTCGACCTCCAGTTTTCGACGGATTTTTATGTTTTGGGGTCCCCTGAATCCGTTTTGACTATTTTCGGGATGATGTTTGTGTGTTGTCTGTATGTACCATAACTCATGAACCGATACAAAGAAAAACACCAAATTTTAAACTTAAGCTTTATTTCGGCCTGACGTGAAATGATTAGATTTTGGACAAAGTAGGAACATCTGGGGGTACTTTATGGGAGGCCGTTTTTATATTTTATGGAATATATCTGTTATTTATGTTTGGAGAAGAAAATTGTCCAAATAAAAGTTACTTCTAATATTATTATCTATAATTTTTGTTCTATGTCAAATTTTCCTGAAATGGTCCGTCCGTATTCGAGAAATTTGACAAAATGTGCAAAATTCTGATTTTTAAGAAAATTGTTGAACTAAAAGTTGTTTGCAATATCGATCTCTATAATTTTTGTTTATACATGATTTTTCTAAAATGGACCGTAATGGAAAAATTGGAGAAAAAGGGCTAAATTTAAATGTTTCAGTATTTTCGTTTTCAATGAATATTTATAGAAAAATGTTTCAAGGTAGATGTATGTAGAAAATGTATACAGTGAGAATCTTAAGCCTTACCCCCCCCCCCCTAACTAACTCGTTACTGGACTCTTGTTAGGAAAATCGCCGAGACAGGTCGATTTTTGTTTTCTACAATGTACATTTTTGTATGATTAGTTTACCCTTAATTTCATCCCTTACTCGAGGGGAGCAACCCTTTCGAAAAATTTAAATGGCATGGGGCGGTGCGTGATAGCTCATTTGAAAGAGGGTTTTATTCTCTATTCAACCATGTAAAAAATTTTGAAATTTGCTTCATTAATTCTCGACTAATTTTTGTTTCAGAATAACGGAAATTCATCCTTAGAATTAAAATTCGGCCCTGCATGATTGCGGTTTTGGTTCCGACTTAAAGTAAGACTTTTTGCTTTCCTATTTTGAGAGATTTTGTTATTTTTAAACATTAATAAATCAACACGTAATGAAGCAAATTTAAATTTTTTTTACACGGTTGAATAGAGAATAAAACCCCCTTTCAAATGAGCTATCACTCACCACCCCATGCCATTTAAATTTTTCGAAAGGGTTATTCCCCTCGAGTAAGGGATGAAATTAAGGGTAAACTAATCATACAAAAATGTACATTGTAGAAAACAAAAATCGACCTGTCTCGGCGATTTTCCTAACAAGACTCCAGTAACGAGTTAGTTAGGGGGGTAAGACTTAAGATTCTCACTGTATATTTAGTTTATCCTCTAAACATTTATAGAGGTGCTGCAATAGATTGTACAAAATAACCGGAAAAAGCCTATAATAACTAGATAGGAAAGGCATGTTTTTTTTTTAAGTTTTAGTCAATGTGAGACAACAGATTGATCGATGCGGAGTAAAATATTTGTATTTTTTGTTGTGCTGTTAAAAATTAGGTATGTAAGGCTATTTATTATGAAATTATTGATAAATCAATGTATATAGTCATTATTGATACTCGATTATTGGATTAGAATATAAAAACATAATACACAGGGTGTTTCCTAACCTCCCTGACAAAATAAAGGAGAATTCTCACCTAATTTTAAGACGAAAATGAAGTATAATTTTTTAGAAAGTCGCTTGGTTTTTGAATTACAGGGTGTTGAAAAAATAAAAATTTGATGTTTTCTTTTTATTATTAATTCGATTCATCAGGATTTTGTGCTAATTGTTGGTTGGAATTTTTTTTTATCGCAAGATCCATAAACTAGACACTTCAAGCTTCAAATTGCTTTTTTCATTCAGTACGACCATATTTATAAAAGATACAGCCACTCGAAAAATCGCAAAAAAATCGAGATTTTTTTTGATCCCATAATTTTTTCCACTAGTGTAAGTCTAATAATTAAGACTAGTATTCGACATATAATTTATGGGTTAAAAATGTTTGAAAATAATTATTAAAATATTTTCTTAATATTTATTTATAACAACTCATCGAGACTATGCAACACTTTGTTTTGTTTTAAATTAGTACGTTTTTTGTTGCTAGAAAATGGAAGAATGACTTTGAATTATTGTATTAAAACATTTTGTATAAGTTCAGTTCAATAAAATATATAATCACATTTTCAATTAAAAGTAAAATCTCAAAAGGTTATGGGTCCAGAGGCAAAGATTGCATTAAGACTTCAAAGTAAAAACACGAATTGATAAAAAAAACTTAATAACGTCAGTATATAAGAGAAGGTGACCAAGTTGTTACTCAAAATTTTCCCAAATGCCCTTAAAATTGTCTTTAACACCGAACTTAAGTATGTAGGTGCACTCATTTTTGACTTGTCCAAGGCTTTTGACACAATTGACATATCCATTATTCAAAATAAATTACATTAGGTTCCAGAGGTATAATGTTAAAACAGCTGTACTTATTTAGATGCACATCAGATATGTGTAAGTAAAGGTAATTGTAAATCAGAATTGAAAAGTATAACTCGGAAGAGTACCACAAGGTTCAGTTTTGTTACCACTAATGTTTTTGTTATATGTATATAAATCGTTTATTTAGTCAAAAAAGCTATTTTTTACATGTCAATACATCTTCACATTTAAAATATAAAAAATACATAAGGGGGCGTCCATTAATTACGTGAGGATTTTTTGACCCCCTCTCCCCCTGGCGAGATTTCGTAAGATTTTCCTCAACTCCCTCCCCCCTCCCCTAATCTCTCGTGAGATTTTTCAAAATTTGTGTTTTGGGTGTATGTGCGTTGGATTATTAAAAAAACAAACACAATATGTTTTATTACTTTTATTTAAGACTAAAAATTTCTAGAAACATTCTTTTCTTTACTTTAATTTTCACGCAATTTTACACCGTTTTCTACTAGAAAAAAAAATACGTCAGATTTACAAAGACCCCCCTCTCCCCCCAAGTGAAATTTGGAAAGATTTAGCTTGATCCCCTCCCCCCCTTGAACACCTCACGTAATTAATGGACGCCCCCTAAGTATATCATCAACATACATTCAAAATACATAAGATACAGTAACTTACATGTCAACTATATAAAACATAATAAAAGAACAAGAAAATAAAGTCAATTGGTCAGCAAGTACTCACGCAGTTTTCTTTTAAATGTTGCGTTTGAAGAACATTTAACATCTTCAGGCAAATTATTAAAACTTTATTTCATCAACAGAAACACACTGCGATGCTAATCGTTAATTTTTTTTTAAGTTTCCAGTACCCCCAATTAACATCCACGTTGTCTTTTCGTAATTTATTTTCAACAAATTTCCGTTAAAATAATCATATATTTTACTTAAGTTGGAACCATATGGAAAACATTTTTATTATTGATTTTAGGAAAAAAAGTTATTCTTGATAAAAAGTCCTGCATGACCCAAAACTTAAAATACAGTCATCAGATAACAAATTTTTAAGCCGTATACGAGGTTTGTCAAAAAATATGAATTTTGCTCAAGAGTAAAGTACGTTTATTTTTTTACAAAATCGAAAATTTTCATTAAGAAATTTGCTAAATTCTTCACAAACATCAACAAAAGGAAAGCGTATCATGTTTATAGTAGCTAACGTAATTTATAATGTTTTCAGATATTTACAATCAATGTGTAGAGTTTATAAAAAATAAGAAAATCTGTTTTTTTAGATAGATCGGTGTAATTGCATATTTGAATGTAATATTCAATCCTAATCAACTTTTCTTAATGAACATTTTCGATTTTGTCAAAAATAAACGTACTTTACTCTTGAGCAAAATTCATATTTTTTGACTAACCTCGTATACGGCTTGAAAAATTTGATATGTGATGACTGTATTTTAGGTTTTGGGTCATGCAGGACTTTTTATCAAGAATAACTTTTTTTCCTAAAATCAATAATAAAAATGTTTTCCATATGGTTCAAACCGAGGGGCAAATCACTCTAAAAATGTACATGTATTGCCGAATTCATATCGCCGGTGTCGTTCTAATACCTCGTAAGCCCAAAAGTAACATTTTACAGGAGAAGCCAAAAACCGTTCTGTTTATTTATTACTATTACTATACGAGGTATTAGAAAAGTTAAATTTTAAAAGTTTTAAAAAATTTGTGGGCTACGAGGTTTTCTGTAATGGTAAATATGGGTAACCGCAACAATTTGACGTAAAAATCTCATTTTTGTAAAAATGAGGGTTACGACGATATGATTTCCGCAATCATATGGCGATTTCTGGATGACTGCGGCGATTTCTGGTTGACTGCGGCGATTTCTGGTTGACTGCGGCGATTTCTGGATGACTGCGGTGATTTCCACATGACTTCCGACAGATTTCCCGTGACTGCGGTGATTTATGTATTGACTGCAACGATTTCCCTATTGATTGCGGCGACTAACGTATGGATTGCCAGTATTATTGCAAATTGCACGCATTCCGAAGGATTTCTACGATATTTTATGGATTACCAGTTGGTTTCCAGTAAAAGAGCATTAGCTAGGTGTTTCATCAGAAAAACTAAATTTTGTATTGCACATGTATGGGTGCTAAATACAATGCATTGATTTAAAACTAAGTGTGTATCACAAATTTATCAAAAAATCAACTTTTTGTACGTTTTTTATTCATTCGAAAGATCAGTTTCAATTGATGTGATTCACGAAATATAAACTTCTATGTAGGTACTTACATGCCTCCATTATTAGATATCTTTGATATGCCTAAATGAACAAATAGGTACAGGTAAATAAAATAAGTTAAGTAATTAAGTAATTGGAGGTTTTTCATTTAAAAATTTCATAACAGTGTTTTTTTAGACGTTTACAAATTTTATCAATGTTTAACTTATCATTTGTTTCTAGTTTAAATGGACCAGATCCAATTAAATTGATGTGTCCATAAAATATGAATTTATTTTTAACAATTTGAATGTCGTCTTTTTTTTGGCCATAAATATTCATCAAGTTCAGAATTTAAAAATTTTATTTTACTAGTGGTTTCATCAATTATTTGAACAATCCGACCTATGTACCACGACTCGTAAAGAACTGCGTAATATTGTTCGTTCCTAATTAAAATGCCATTAATATTTTTCTGGAGCAAAGTATTTTCACCAGTAGTTTTTTCACTTTCTGTTACATCTTTGTCATTGTAGTTATTTGGTATTTTAGCTGTGTTTTTTCTGGACTTGATTTTTTTTTGTTATTTAGTACTGCTGAGGATGTACCTTTTACACGAAGTAATCTGTCAGTTGACAAGCGCCCGTCTTTAGTGGAAAATAACCAACAAAGCTGATTTTTTTACCTTCATTTTTTTTGTTGTTCACAATTATGTTTAAAAGTGAAGTATCAGAATCACTTTGTGTCGTAATTTCAAAAATCCTTTATATTAAGATCTTTCAATCCATAAAAAATGCTCATTTCAGTATCTATATCATATAGGGAAACTTAAGTTTAAAATTTAATGTTTTTTACTTTATCCGTTTTTGATTTTTCTTCAAAATTCGAAATTTACACATTTTCTTAAATACCTCGAATACGGTCCATTTTAGAGAAATTATGTATAGAGCAAAAATTATACAAAATTATATTACAAACAACTTTTATTTGAACAATTTTTATAAAATTTTGTCAAATTTCTTGAATACGGATCATTTTAGGAAAATTTTGTATAGAACAAAAATTATAGATAATAATATTATAACTTTTATTTGAAGAATTTTCTTTACCAAACGTAAATAACAGATATATTCTATAAAATATAAAAATTATGACCTATAAAGTACCCCCCAGATGTTCCGACTTTGTCCAAAATCTAATCATTTCACCTCAGGCCGAAATAAAACTTAAAGTTTAAAATTTAATATTTTTTCCTTTATCCGTTTTTGATTTTTCTTCAAAATTCGAAATTTACATATTTTCTTGAATATCTCGAATACGGTCCATTTTAGAGAAATTATGTATAGGGCAAAAATTATAGAGACTTATATTACAAACAATTTTTATTTGAACAATTTTTATAAAAAAATAATTTTTTTACATTTTGTGAAATTTCTCGAATACGGATCATTTTAGGAAAATTTGGTATAGAATAAATTATATATAATAATAGTGTAAGTAACTTTTATTTAAAGAATTTTCTTCTCCAAACGTAAATAACAGATATTCCATAAAATATAAAAATGATGACCTATAAAGTACACCCCAGATGTTCCGACTCTGCCCAAAATCTAATTAGTTAATTGGACGCCGGAATAAAGCTTAAGTTTAAAATTTGGTGTTTTTATTTGTAACCGTTCATGAGTTATCGAGGATACAGACACAGACACACACAGAGAGACATACACACACACGGACACCATCGCGAAAATAGTCAAAACGGATTCAGGAGACCCCAAAACGTAAAAAACCGTCAAAAATTCGAGGTGGAAAAAAAATCATGATTCCTATACTTTCCTTATCTGTACACAGATAGGAAAGTAAAAATACATTTAAAACCCTAATTAAAACGTGTATCACCCCAACCCCCCATAAAATACCAACAATTTTGTTATATATTAAAAAAAAAAATTAGATGAAAAAGGACAATTTTCGACCACCTTGTAAAATCTTGCATACAAGTAGATTTATTGTCTAAATTTATCCTAAAAAGACCTTCAAATTCCAAAATGTAAATTTAGGTTAATAGTTCTTACTTCAAAATGCACGGAAGGACCCTTTCGATAAATGTAAACTGCAATTTCTTTACACAAAATGGTTTAGATGGCTTAATCAAAGCACCCTAGCCAACAATGGCAATAGGTTAATGTCACCTTACTGCGCGCGATTTTTAACGATTGCTCAGTGACTGCGAGAGAATTCGGGGGACTGCAAGGGAATTCGGAACGACTGCGAGCGAATTCGGAACGATTGCGGCGATTTCTTAGCGATTGTCACTGATTTTGATGAGACTGCGGCGATTTTCAATGGGATTGCGGCGATTTTCAATGGGATTGCGGACATTTTGTACACGTATTGCGGAAGTGATTTGCCCCTCGGTTACAACTTAAGTAGACACACTGTAGAACTATTAATTTCTTTAAAATAAGTAAAATATATCAGTGTATCATCTGCAAATAAGTGAATTGAGCATTTTTTGACTACACCAGCAATGTCATTAATGTAAATTAAAAACAGTAGTGGACCTAGAACACTACCCTGTGGCACCACCATATTATTCTCTATAGTATCTGAAACACAATTACTTACTTTAACCTTGTTTCCTATTTTCCATATAATGACCCAACCAGTCCAGTACACAACCCCCCAAACTAATAGCGCTTAATTTCATTAATAATCTACCCCTATCAATAGTCTCAAATGCCCACTGTAAATCTAAAAACACCACCAGTGTAACCAAATTATTTTCAATTGATAACTTCCAGTCATGCAACACCTTTCACAGTTGTTTATTATGGAATCCTGATTGCACATTACTTATCAAGCTGTTCCCCTCTAAATAATCAATAATTTGAAGATATAATATTTATTCTATTAGTTTTCCAACAGCACTGATCAAATTTATCAGTCTTAAATTGGTAACCTTACTTGGATTCGAAATTTTCGGTATCAGAATTATTGTAGCAATCTTAATATCATCTTGAACTAAGCTTGTTTCAATAGAAAAATGTATAATATGTAATCGAAGTTGGGATAAACTCTCAAAACATTCTTTGAATAAAATTGTGGATATTTCATCTGAACTATTTTTATTTGACATTGAAAATAATATTTCTTTTAATTTAGTATAATTAGTTTAAAATTTACGTTTCAATTTCACTTAGATGAGGTATAAATGGATAATTATTAATAGCAGGTAACTGCTCAGATATTCAATACTCTTTACATAATAATAAAGCATTAGGAAAAGTAAAATTCTGACAATTGTCACAAATATTGTCGAATTCATATTAGTATTAGTAAAACTGCTTGCGATATTAGCTGTTGGAATGAAAGATTTCAAAGTTTTCCACATTTCAGTAGGATTATTTTAAATCTATTTTAGTTTCCAAGTTGCTTTTTTCTTGTTTTAATTACATTCACTGCTTTATTCCTATTACATTTATATATTCTCCAGTTTTCCTCTGATTTGTTAGTAATAAATGTTTTATAACTTTTATCTCTCACACTAGTAGCAGCTCTAACCTGATCATTCCACCAGTTCTGATATGGTAAAATTTTAACTTGTCTTTTTGGTGCCACTTCACTGACAACTTTCAAAATTTTATTTAAAAAATCACTGTATTTTTTATTAACCAATAATTCCATGTAATATCTTTTAGATTATTATTAATTAATGTATAATCAATAAACCTACCTCTATATTCCTTAACATGTGTCTGCAGATTATACCATACTTTATGCAGACGATACAACAGGGTTTCCTTATTAAGACTACAGCTTTTACCTTATTAGATATTAAAAATAACAAAATGAATAAATACCTAAGACCTAGACCTAGAACGAGATTTGCTGTTGGATTTGGAACGGTCTTTATCGTCCTTCGAAGCCGATCTGGATCTCCCCCTGGAACTCTTGCTGTCAGAACGAGATCTGCTTCTGCTGAAAGATCGACGCCTCGACCTCGAGCGGCTCCTCCTGCTGCCCCTACTGTTACAAATAAATTTTTTCGTTTGTTAGTTTAGTGAAAAACAATGTAAAGCCGGCAATGCCACATGAAATCAACTAGAAGAAAATAATTTAAATAGAGCTAAACACTCTTTTAACAGTTTTAAATAATAGCGAAATTAAAATTGGTCGATTCAATGTGGAAAACTCAAATTGCGGCTTTAAAATAAAAAGTACCTGCGACGACGTCCTCCGTACCTGCGATGTGGTGAAGTAGGCCTTCCGTAGCGTGCCATCTGCACTCTCAATTCCCTGCCGTCAAGCATTCTACCGTCCATGGCGTCTAGCGCATCTTCGGCGTCCCTCTTGTCGTAGAATCTGGTAAAAGTACCAGTTTATTGTAAAAGAAACACGCAATTAAATGTTCAAAAACTTACCGTACGAAAGCGAAACCTCTGCTTTCTCTAGTGAATCGATCTCTAGGAATATAAATATCTCCAACTTCTCCGCATCTTTCGAAAACGCGTCTCAGATCGTCTGGTGTTGTCCGGTAGGTTAAATTGTCCACTTTCAACGATACCATGCCATCTATGCGAGGGGGCGGTCTGCCGTAGCTCATCTTGGAATCTCGTTTTTGTGAAATTTTTACAGAATAAACCTTCCTTGAGACAAATCGAAAACACTAGCTCCTCCACCTACAACACAACGCAAAGCCGAAATCAAAATGGCGGATGGCGGGCGGCCGGAAAGAAAACGAAAAGGGGTGACAATCGATTTCTTACAAACTCATTCGATTATTTTAAAATTTTAAATATTTTAGTTGAGTTGAATTCAATCACATATAATTATATAGATTACTCATCCTATATAAATCAAACGACTAAAAGAGGATTTATGCAACCAGTATAACGCCAATATCACATTCCATTTTTGGCACAAACACAGATTACTCATTAAACAGGACCGGATTTATTTTCAATGTTGAAATTATTTTTACTTACTAATTTTCATAAGGATATATTACGTTCAGTATTGGCCACATAGATAATTTTAATCACTGGTCTATTTCTTAACTACTAGCGGTGGCGGTGGAATTGAGTCTACTAGAAAGTAAACTATTCATGGAGCCAATTAATGTCTAAAAGGTTTGCAACATACGATGTAGTCCATCTTCAATACGTAAAATAATAAATAATGGTTTAAATTTAAATATTTTATGTCGAACCAAATGTAAATATTATTTAAAACAAACCGCTTATACATTTTCTATGAATTTGCAGGCTTGGCGACTACTATTTCAAATAAAAATAGCGACCAAGATGGTAGGCTATGTCGAACCCACTTAGATTTACGAGTCTTTCCCGTGCAGCTATTGTTTGAGGGGTCGTGGGAATGCCTAATTCTAAGTGGAGGTAAGTCATTTATATAAAGAAGAAATAACATGGGACGCATGACATAACCCTGAGGGACTTCAAAACTTATATCTATCTATACATCTATCCCAGCGACAACAGGCTTTTTTTTAAATTTCCAAGTATTTGTTTTCACCTTTGGGGTTCGGAGATGGTCTTATACATTCGTAGGGGGATTTTTAAGATTTGTTTTCGAATCTTCAAATTATTTTTATATCTAAAACTTGGGAAAACATAATATTGTTACGCAGCACCCTGTAGCGTGCTGCGGTCATCATAAGTAAAGGTACGAGTAAATAAAGAAGATAGAATAATCCAGAAATGTCTCGAAATGTCATTCCTTGAAAAGTCCGGATTGTTCGAGAAGGTTTTAGAAGGTCTAGGCAAGCTATATAAGTCGACGACCTGACGTGTGAGGGGCAGTTATATGATAGACGTTACATGTTAATGTTATATCAGTTGTATCGTTATTGTTAAAGTTGAATTGAGTTATTGTAAAGTTGAGTTAAAATAAATTGTGATACCAAAAGCCAGTGTAACAATATTTTTTACTATTTGCTTGCTTCTGAAAGATTATATTATATCAGCTCATCGTCTTCGATTTCGTGAACTAGAATTTTTTACAATACTGTGTGATTGACACAATAAAACCCAGACAAATCACAGAATATCTCCGTTACAACTTTGTTTAAATTCATTTTAAAGTAAGCAAGTTTAACATAAGAAAATATCGTAATAAAAAAGAGGCATGCGGGGGAGGCGATCCAATCCTGATAATTGATTTAGGACCGATTCCACCGTTGTGTTAAACGGAGATTGTTTATGTAAAAATGTCATTTTAAACTTTGTTTAACACAACGGTGGAATCGGTCTTTAGGCAACCAATAATGCATATGTGTAATTTTCGTTGTAATTTCTCCAAAAACTAGCTAAATATTGCAGAATCGTATTGAGTTCCACTGACTGGTGGCTCAGTGCTTGCGACCTGATTTTTTTATAGTCTTATTTACATAAAGTCATTGTATATGGGTAAGCAATCTATATAACCTTATATAACATTGGTTGAATTTCGTTGTTCTGTACATAAGAATTTGCGATTTACATAAATTAAAATATCACTACTTACGTACTCTTTTAACTTAACTAAAGAAGTAACTTTTACATCTATATCCTCTCATCAACATATCCATCTATCTACTACTATGCATCATCCATCTGTATCAAATACTGTTCTTACGTTAAAAAATAATTCAAAAAATTTGTAATAAACAAATCGATTTTCATATATCGATTTGAAAAATGAATGAAAATGGTAGGAAAAAAATTATACCAACCTTAGAAATGTCCATTCTATTTTGGTTATTTTTAAAGTTAAATTTATCTTCTATTAACTTCATTTTTGATTTTACTAATTTTGCAGTTTTATTATTAATGTAAAATATTTAGTTTATAGATTATTTTGTAATTATTTTTTCTCATTTTTAACTTTAAAAAACATTTTATAAACGAAAAAGCTGTATTTTGAATTAATGGGTCGATTCTGAAACAATGTGTAAGATCCGTAAGCCAAAGTCTGCAAAAAATTACATTAATCTTATAGCACAGAATAACCACTATTACTTATAGTTTCTGTAGCTTAGGACCGATTCCACCGTTGTGTTAAACGAAGTTTAAAATGACATTTTTACATTAACAATGTCATTTTAATCTCCGTTTAACACAACGGTGGAATCAGCCCTTATAGGATATTTCGCAAAATTCTACCATTTATGGGAAATTGAAAAAAAATAAAATCAAGTTTTGAAACCAAAAGGCAAAAAGGGACTGTTGGTTTCTTTTTGTTGGCGACAATGTATGTCGTATATCCGCGCTCCACGAGTTTGCACGATTCACGACAAGCAGAAGAAACGAAGAAAAATCCTGCAAAAGACAAAAGCCAGAAGATGATGTTGTTTAGTTATACGTGTTTGGTGTTTGTTCTTAATTTTAGCCTGTTTTAATTCCTTGCATGATTTAATCGTTTGTTTAAAGATGGACGTGAAGAAAGAACCTTTCGATCCTCATGAAGAGATTAAAACCGAACCAGATCTTGTTTACAGTGAAACGGTGGATCAAGATGTGCTTCCTATAAAATCACAAACTTTTAAAAGCGAAGTAGATGCATACAGTGATCCATCCAATATTTTTGAATTTCAATCATCGACAAAGTCAGAAAATGTTAATGAAATTAAACAAGAACCTATTGACTGTGAAGTGCCTAAAATAGAACAACGTTCAGATTGGATAAAAAGTGAACATGGCGTATGTGAAACCGAGCAAATGTTTCCCAACAATATTGAAACAGAACTTGATAATCGCGAAGTTAAAACGACAGATTTTGACTTGAACAAAAGTGATATCAAGCAAGAATTGGTAGATCCTAAAACTGTGAGTGAACTTTTAACTACAGATTGTGATTTGCCGACTTTAAAAAGTGATGATGCTGATTATCCAGACTATTTCATGGTGCCGGGTAGTAGCAAAGAAGTCGAAGGTGTATTGAAACCGGAGAATAATACTGATAAAACCGTTTCTAAGAAGAGAAGGTACCCCTGCCCTATCTGCCTGAAAAGTAAGTGCTTTATTTCTATTTTAACCTTCACCTGGCCTCGTGGAGTACATACATACCCCACGCGGTTACATTCGACTTAAAAGACACAAATTTAAAAAAAAAATTTACTATTAGAAAGTAAAGAAATATTAAAATCTCAAAAATTGCACATTTTTAATCAAATATTTTGACTTATGTGTACAGGGTTGCCAAGTATTTTAATATGTAAGAAGATATAATTAATTTGTAAACTCATAAATAGAATTTTGTGATAAAATACCAGAATCTGTATCAAACATCGCTCCCCGACCTCTAACACAGATCAAAGAATAATATCTGTTCATATCAGCTCATACAATTGTTTATAAAATTAATCAGCAATCCTTTGTTTCCTAAGTTTTTATAACTTACTGACATTTCACATGACATTTTTGAGTATTTTCTAAAAATACAATGTTACAAAATAATTTTATTTGACTCATTCAACATAAAATTTTACTCTAAATTCTCTGCTACCCGGTCATACTGTTAGTACCCAGACCACTTAGTTTTTTAAATATTGCGGGTAACGGCCGAAATAGTAATAAGTAATAAATTAATCTTGACAACCCCGCTCATTATCCAGAAAAGAAATATCAAATATTAAAATTTTCAAGTTTTAGGTTAAAATTTAATAAAAGACTTATTTTCAAAAAGTATTTAATTAAAATATATAATTGATTTATACTTTTTTTCGTATTTCCAAACCTAAGGTGAGTTAAAATCATACTTAATATCATTTAAATAAAAAAAATAAAGTAAAACTGGTTAAACAGTGTGTCCCTAAAGTCGAACGTAACTCCCCACGATCTTTCTCGTCGATTTTCGATATCTAAATCTTCGAAATCAAAACTCCTAATGACATCTATTGCTAGTCAAGGGATATACTTTTATACCTAGGCCAGTGGGATAGCGCTATCAAAATAAATACCTTTTTTTAAAGACCCATGAAAACAATTATTATTCTTTTATTAACAAAGAAATTGGTCGAAATAAAACAAATACAAAGCCAGAAAATTTAACTCCTGAAGATCTTAATAATTTTTAATTAATAATGTGGAAAACATAATTCAGAATCTAGAGAAACCAGATATACCTATATGCTACTTTATAAATATACCACAATTAAAAAATTCAATGTGTTTTCAGCCAAAATGATATAGAATCAATTGTAAAAGATTTAAAAAATAAAAGAACAGAGGATATTGATGGATGAAAAAATGTATTTCTTTTTTGTCTAAACCTTTAACTATAATTATAAATGCTTGTCTAACTGAAGGAATATTTCCTGATAGCATGAAAATTGCTAAGGTCTGTCCTCTATTTAAAAAAGGAAACCCTTCTCAGCCTTGCAACTTCAGACAAATTGCTGTACTTCCCATATTCTCCAAAATCTTGGAAAAAATTATGTATAATAATCTAATATATTTAAATTCTTCCAACATACTCATGCCATTCCAGTATGGTTTTAGAAGGGGGCGATCTACAATAGATGCAGTATTATCTCTAGTACAATATATAGAAAATTGTTTTGAAAAAGCTGAAAACTGTTTAGGTGTATTTACAGATCTAAGCTCTGCTTTTGACTGTGTGGATCATTCAATTCTATTATCAAAACTGGAGAGGTATGGAGTACGAGGGATTTGTTTACAGCTTTTTGAATCTTATTTAACTGACATATGTCAAACAGTCATCATCGAAAATTGCAAAAGTTAATTGATGCATATCAGGAGAGGTGTCCCTCAGGGCTTAATTTATCACATGTATATTTGCTGATGATACTTATTTTTGTATTAATACTAAAAGAGGAAC